ACCACACAACGAGGCAGCTGCCATCCCTTCCCAGGGCAGGCATAAGCAGGATGTTTTGTCTGACTGTCAGGACATGGCCTCTGCAGACCCTTCCCCTCCTACTAGACCTTCCTCGCTCCTGCTGAGTGTTGCCAGTGTCTCTTCCCTTTATTTGTGCCCTGCTTCTCTTTGTGCCCTGCTAAGGGGACACGACCTCTTTCTCAAAGGTCTTCATGTTTGTGTCCGCCTCCTCTTCAAGCAGAGTGTTGCACATTGTATGAACAAGATGGATAAAATGCTAAAGCAGTGACTTCAAAGCCTGAGATGCTCCCTGGGTGCTTTGCACTGCAGCATCTGAAACAAGCAGTGCCATAGGGCAGTGCCACCCGTGGGCAGGCTGCTACTGAGAGTGGCCATGCAGCAACAAAAGTCACATACAGATGTCACTGATTAAGTTCTTATTCAAGCACATACTTCCAGAAGAGCCTGATGTTAAAATTACACCAGGCATGCAAGAGGGCACCACGTGGCAGAGCTCAGCCACAGCTTCCCTTTCTGCACCGAGCAGGAGGGCAGCACTGGGGGAGGTTGCTGTGTCCAGGGGTGCATGACCATGGGTCCTAGGCCAGCAGCTTTGGAGATTAATGCTCTTCATCATTGTATGCAGGACACGTGCAGGTGGTAAATGTGGCAGTGCAGTTGATACAGTGCTATAAAAGGGATGAGTGGTTGTCCTGATGGCTGCTGACCGTGACTGCAGGAGTGTGTGCAGGGGGACCAGGCACACCAACCAGCCCCTCTGGTGTGCCTGGAGGGCTGTGTGCTGCTGAGTGTTCAGAGCTCTTCTTCTGAGTTGCAGACTGATGGGCTGGAGACATATATATCTGGAACAGATAATAAGCTATTAGAGCCCTAAGGATGCTGTTCCCTGCTTGTCTATCTCTGCTCCCCATCTCCTGCCCCCATCTCGCGCTGTCCTCCTTGAGCTATGGATTTTCACTTGGCTCCTGGCAATGCAGGATCCATCTCCCACCACCCTCTCTGTGAAGGAGTTCTCATCACTGTCATCATAGAGATGGGATCTCGGGTTCAAAAAGATGAAGTGGCTAGATGTGTGAACCAAATGCACATTACTCAGTCCTCTCAAAAAAAAAAAAAAAAAATCTCTCTCCTTTTCTGCCTCTTAATGATATTAGCAACCTCTAAGCACCAGGAGTGTCATAAACTTTCCAGATTATGGTAATAATAACATCGTATAGTACATTGCATTGGGAATAAAATTATTTTACCCATTCCAATTTCCTTTTGTTTTAATGTGTAAATATATCAAGTGGAAAGCATAGTAGGAAATCTCTGTGCAGATGCCGAATGTACTGCAAGTCAGCCCTTTCCAGAGGAAGCGCTTAATGGAGCAGGTTCAGAGCCTGAATTTTGCATGGCAAAGTGTCTGGCTCTAAAAAGTTGGTTGGCTCAGTTTCGCTACTGTGCTTTGCACTGGGAGCCTTCCATAAATTGATCTCTCACCTGGAAGTGGAATGGAAGTGATGATGCATCTATCCATGGAAATGATGGGGAAAAGGGCAGGGAACGACGTGGCCCTTCCTACCCCCCAGAAGTCTCTAGAGGTCGGTCTTGTCCATCTGCTTTGGGGTTTGCCAGCCTGAGGAGATTGGTTCTGCTCCACAGAGCTTAGCAGGGCAGGCTATATCTGTGCAAGGCTCACTCCTTGTGGAGCGCCACTGAGAATGGATGAGATTATTGCTTCCTCTCCAGCACCTGGCCTCATTCTCCAGCCTTTCTTTTTCCTCCCAAGGGCTTTCTGTGAAACAGGTGACTCTGACAGGCATGGTCCTGCCATCCTGTTGTCCTGGCAATGCACAAATTATCTGCATCCTGAAATCCTCCAGGAGACCTAGGATGATGTCAAACAATAATGTATTCTTTCTGTTCAAACACATTAAAAGTGCAATTAATCCTCACGATCTCTCTGCCCATTCATAACGTGGAATGAGGTGACTTTCCCAGCCTCTGCATGCTGTGGCAGGCTGAGCTTAGAACCGAAGCCTTCCAGAGTCTCATCCTGTGATTTAACGCAATCCCTCAGGAGCTGGGTTGGTCCCTTGCTCAGCCCCCACACCTCCACCACTGTCAGTTTTCTCAGCCTCCTATTCCATCTCCCTGAATGCTTTTCTCTCCAAGACAACCCCAGGCTTTCTGGGCTCGCTTTTGAGACATTTAGATTCATATGAGGTTTAAAACACATCAAAACAATTGTTGGTCTTGCTGGGGACCTGATGCTGTGAATGCAAGAGAGATGTTACAGCTTGAACAGAGGGGATTCACTTAAAGTGATGTCCTTTTCCACTAAATACAGCTGAAGGTATTACTGATAGTAACACAGGCAAGTTAAGGAACCTACAAACAAAGCTTGAACATACACAGCCTTGCTTCTGAGCTTCATGACAGCCCAGTGGACCTACGGGGGATTTGGGAGAGAAGAACAAAACTGTGATGCAGGGCTTATTTCTAACATTGTTCTTTTGCTATAAACCAGTGCCATATAATTCTTTGTACTGCAGAATAAGGATTACTTTAAACAATATTTCTATCAAACTCAGGCAACAAAGATGGTGGCAAAGTATTTTGGCATCCAAGTAGTTAGACAAAAGCTTTCTTGTCCCATACCACTGTACTTAATGGCATTGCTGTGGAAATTCCCCATGTATGAATGCCTTTAGGCAGGTGGCAGACAAGGGTTACAGCAGACAGGTGAATGTATGGCAGCAGGATGGCCAAAGGCAGAAGCACACAAGTTGAAAGAGTTAAGGCTAGAGAAATTGTGCACTATATGGGGTACAGCAGAGCAACTCAAGGAAACATTTAACTGAGAGCTAAAGCTGCAGATAAATATTCTAATTCTCCATGGGGTGGCTGGCAATTAGTTTTTGCAGCAAGGTTGCATTTGCAAAGGGAGAACAGAGCCACCAGCCGGCAAATACAGCCCAGAGAACGTGTAGAGAGATTTCAAGAGCTTTGCTGCTGCAGGGTGTCAGGATTCTACTGAAAAATGGGTAGCACAGGTCACAGGGAGAATATGCTCCAGGATAGGAAAGGACAGGATGTCTCCTTTAATCGCAGAGCAGGGAGTCTTCAACATCACAGACTGGGTCACGGCATTGTGAACAATTCTCTGTGGTGCATGTGTGTTATGGTATGTCTGCAGAGGACTGATCTGAGGGCTGAAGCAGCATGATGAGACTGTCTTTTGGATTCAGGTGTATTGGCAAAGGTTACATGTTCATCTGGATTGCTCCTCTGCCATTGTTCACTTGACAAGCAATCATGATGTCTTTTCCTGATAAGTTACTGTATTACTTAATAAGTGTATACATATGCACGTGTATACCTGCTCATACACAGATTTCTGATTTCTTCTTTCTTCTGTTTTAACAAGGATCTTCTGCCATTGAGGCAGGGAAGGTCACTCACCTGCTAAGTGGTTTTAGTATTGCATGGTGTCCAAGTGACGGTAGGCACGTTCCCATGAGCCCTGCAGATGGGAAAAGCTGAGGGATTTGTCTATGTTTATGCCATCATATTATTCAAATAAATGTATTGCTTCACTTAGCCATAGTTAGGGTAGCAAAAGGCCAAAACGATTTTGCCAACGAAGTGGCACTAAGCTGGAAGGAAGAGGTGCAAAAAGGAGTAACTTGCTCTCTGAGCAGTGCTGCTGCCAGCGTGCTGATGGCCGTGGCAGGCTGGAAAATCCTAGCAGTGAGAGCAGCATGCTCCCCACTAGCCCTGGGGCTGTTCTTGTGTCCCTGCTGCTCAGGGAGCAGTGCAATGTGGTGACACCCGTTTGTAGAGGCCGACCTCAAAGGCAGATCTTCTCTGCTGCCCAAGCCCAGCCTGCCCTTAGTCTGTGTTGCTGGTGGATGAAACCAGCATAAATTTGAGCACTTCCATTTCCCAGCTGGGTGGGTTTAAAGCATTTTGGTCATGCCTGTGGCAGAGCAAAAATATGCTTTCAAAAAAAAATCCAAAAAAGTAGTCTTGAAGTTCAGCTAACCTTTTTGAAAAAGTGGGTGCTCAGTTCAGCTTTAACAGGCTGTGGAAAAAGCAGTGCTTGTTTCAGAAGGCTCATGAAGGCTCTTTGCTTTAAAGCCTTTGATCGCCTCCTCAGTGGCTGGTTCGTTTGCATTGTATTTCACTAATGGGAACTCGAGCTGCAGCTCTGGAGTCACCTGGAAGCATTGTAGCACGATGGGGAAGTGCATCCCAGGGGGACTGTCACTGAGGTACTGGTTCTTAGACACATTTGTGGGTTTCTCTGTTCCTTGAAGTGTGACTGGAGTTTTCCCCTCGAACAAGCACGGGTGTCCCATCGGGCTGCGCAGTCACCTTCAATACATCTCAGCTGCTTTGGTGATCACACAGGCGCTTTCAGAGTAGGGAGCTGAGGCCTGCTCGTGCAGGCCTCTAGAGCTGCTTTATTTAATCCTCTTCTCCTACAGCTTCTCTCTTCCTGCTGCTGGTCAGGGCTGCAGTGGGACATAGGTGCTGTTTGTTATGCTCCCCTGCATGGTAAATCACAGCTGCCAGGCCTGTTTTAGACAGAGCAGATGTGATTTGGCCAGGTCCCAGCTTTAACCGCTTGTGTATGCTTGTTTCTGGGCGAGGTGAGAGCAGGAAGGCATTGGTCCTCAAGCCTGTGCAGGACACTGTGCAGGCCTTAGGAAAGCTCCACATGCATTCAGTGCCTAGAGCTGCTAATCCCAACAGCACCAAAGGATTTAAATTAAGAGTTGATACCAGCCCCTCAGGAGATGGGGAAGAGCTCTCAGTGCTCCATTTCCTGAGACATTTGTGTCTCGTGCACAGCACTGTCTGGCTTTTCCCCTCTGTGGTTCAAAGAGGTGGCTCCTCCACCCTGCTGTGGGAACAGCCACCACGGGTGTTGGGCCAAGGGCCTGGGGTGCTACTTGTTTCCCTCTTTACCTCTTCTTTCCTCCCCACAGCTCCTGCTCAGGCCCAAATCATCCATGCTGGGCAGGCGTGCGTGGTGAAGGAGGACAACATCAGCGAGCGTGTTTACACGATTCGGGAGGGGGACACGTTAGTCCTGCAGTGTCTGGTCACAGGACATCCCCGGCCACAGGTAAGCTTTCAGCCTGGCCTGTCAGCAGGGTGCCCAGCTTCATCTTACATGTTGGAGTCAAGTAGGGATGCCCTATAACACAAGTCCTGTTTAAGGTATGAAGCCAGCCTTGATTTCAAGGAATATGTCCAAAGAATTTTGTGGGAGCCTAGCCAGAACTTCTAGTGGTCTTCAGTATGTGAAGGGCCAGAGCATGGGTCTGCCTGCTCCAGGACAGAGCATCATAGGAGTGGCAGATGGTGTGTCCTGGGAGGCTGGATGTGACAGAATACACTCAAGGGAGCCAAGTATGATATGTGCACCTTCTTGGCCCCCTTCCCCAATCCTGACAGTCACTCTGATGATAGCTGTGTACATTAGAAAGGAGGAAGATGGTAGGTCTGGCCCTGCCTACGGATGTTGAACACGTGGGAAGGTGCTGGCAGGGTGTGGGGATTTGAGCCTGAGTAGTCAGAGAGATTTCTGGAGCAGAGCCTGATGCAGACAGCATGCTAGTGGGCAACACTGCGGCTTGTCATTGCCCAGACACACAAGGGAGACACTAGAGTGTAGAACCAGGCGTGACCAGGGAGGCTGGGACCTGTGTACATAAAACATGGCACGTGTCCTATTTCTGCCCTCCCTCCTCATGGATAGATTTCTCCCACAGTTAAGCTCTTTTCCTAACCTTTGTTTAATCTTTTCTTTTCCCTTCAATCAGCCAGTCATTAAAGCATGAAAATGTGGCCAAAATACTTAAATGAGATTGAAATTAGAAAGATTAAAGAGCTGGCTGAAGTGTCCTTGCAAACATGAGACTATGAGAGTCCTGAGGCCCTCAGACAATTTCATAATAAGCCTACAAAAACTAAATAAATCCATGGTCATTAGCTCCAAAAATCTGCTCAGCCTGGTGCTCTGGGACTGGGATTTAGACACCCCTGCTCTTTCTAGAGCATCAGCATCAATCAGGTGGTGGCAGTTAGCTTTAAGCAAAGCTTGAGATATGGGGTTAAGGTATCTGGTCCTTCTCATCCATGGCCAAAGTTGAATGAAAATCAGTCTCCTTTCTGTTGGCAGAACCTGCTGGATCTCTGCCTCAGAATCTAGATGGCACAACTGTGGGAGACCATCAGAGTCACCAGCCTTCAGAAGGCAGGTTTTTGATATAGGGCACCAATGGGCTGAGGAAAGCTGCCTCGCTCTTCTGTTGTCTGGGCTGCAGAAAATGAGAGCAAGCTTGTACTTCCACTGCTTGGACTATACCTTGTTACAGACATAAGAAATACCCTTCAGTCTTTAGTAGTGCTGTTCTTTTGCCACTGTTCACCATGAAATACCATGCCACTATGTTGCTCCCACCAGCCAGGATCTTAAGACATGTAACATACGGCCAAAAATGCAAGACAGACTGTAATCTAAAAGGGTTTTTCCCCTTTTCTTTTTGTGTAGCTTCCAAATCAAGGTAAAAGTTTGTGTACTGCAGAAGAATGACTTTTAAAAAATAACATACATGGGGCTCCCTGTGGGAAGGAGGCTAGAGCCAGATAGTAACAGCGGTTTCAACTCTTGGAAAAGCAAACAACAGAAATAACATTGCTGTCCAGAGAAAGATGAAAGGGTGCTGACAGCAATAAAAGCCCTGTAGGTGTGAGCTGATGTCTGCTGTAGCTTCGTGGCCTGCTAGCCATGTGGGATCCTGAGGCTTAATGCTGAAAGTCTTGTGCTGTGCATGTAGTGGTATTAAACTAAGCAAATTGCTGGGATTTGCAGGACCAGAGTGGTGAATGTGCAGTGTGTGTCCGGGTGAACTGAAGGGTTATCCCAGGTGTTAGGACATGGGGGTTGGCAATGGGCCAGAATTAGCAGCTGGTCTACTGAGACATACTGAGATCAGCCGCTGAACTTTAGTAAGGTCTAGTGGTGTTGTAAGGACTGCTTTTGTGACTGACTGGGGAGGAAAAGGAGAAGGAGAAAAGTGATTGCAGCCATTCTTTGGGATCTCTGGCTTGTGCCACTGACAGTTTGTGTTACCCTCATTCTTCTTGTGCAGGTGAGATGGACCAAAACTGCTGGCAGCGCATCGGACAAATTCCAAGAGACATCAGTGCTTAACGAGACCCTGCGGATTGAGAAGATCCAAAGACTGCAGGGGGGCCGCTATTACTGTAAAGCAGAAAATGGGGTTGGGGTTCCAGCCATCAAGTCCATTCGAGTAGATGTGCAGTGTAAGTCGTTTAGCGGCAACCCAGACCTTCCCACAGTTCTACTGCGTGTCTCTGCTTTGCTGCGGGGCCGGTAGGGAGCTGCATTGCCCTAGGACTATGCGCATCTCATTCAGGAGCAAAGGGACTACTGTGGTGTCCCCAGGGTCTGTTTTCCCTAGGAGATCAGGTCCATATGGGAAAAAGATGGCTCTGCCTGTCCACGTGGACCACTCTTATCTAAGTGCTGTGATATCTGTCACTGCCAGGGGTACCTAGCACTTGTGTGGCATGTGGCGTTGTAGATGGCTTCTGCTTTCTTTGTCTTCATTTTGAACAAGCCTTGGTTTGCTTCTTGGAATCAGTAGTGCCTCAGGTGCCTGGAGCACTCCTGAAACCAGTGCCACTGCTAAATACAGTGTGGTGGAAACAGAGCAAAAAATTCTGGGATACACCTGAGAAAGCTGTGTTGAGAAGGGGTAAATGTGAGGGAATCTGTTGAGGATCCCACAGTTTCAGCAGTGACGCAACATTCCTCTGGCTGCTTGAAATGCCTGTCTGTCTTGTGTCCTAGCGATGCCACCTTGCACCCCAAGATTTGATAGTTTCCTGTGCTGACTTAATGTTTATTTTGGGGCTGTTGCGATCAAAAGGGAGGAAAATTAGACTTATTACATACCCCCTGTTAGGGGGAATTGGAGATTTAAAGTCTAGGCAACTTTTGAGGAAATTTGGCCTCTAGAGGAATATTATGATTCTGCTCATTGTCCTCAACTATCCACACTGTTCCAGTTTCCTCCAGTTCTGTTAACACGAAATCCCTCTCCTCGCTCACATCATCTGAGAAGGCCTAGCCAGCAAGAGGTTGATGTTAAAAAAAAAAATGCAAATTATTATAAATTATAATAATTAGCTGGAACTCTCCTAACCCATCACCCCCTGTTCTCAAGGCCCTTTTAGGAAGACAGTCCTCTGTGCTGAGGTGCAGTGTACAATAGCCTTCTGTAACAAAAGGAACTTGTTTTTCTCAGTCCTCAGTATGACCCCTTGCCAGGGCCTGTGTCTATAGGAACAGAACTGTGGCATGAGTCTCTCCTTACGGCCTGCAGGCATTCCCTTTACTTCTGGAGTGCAGACTGGAGCTAGAGTGATGTAGCATCCCGTGGTCCCTCGTGCAGCTCTGACCTGTAGAACTATGGGGCTAATGGGGTGGCCAAGGGCTTTCTCATACTAACATCTACTCTGCAGATGGACTTGGTAACACACCTCTGTTCTGCTCACTTGGTTTTTGGGGAGGAGAGTCTATTTTCTGCTGGTATTTGCAGTAAGTACAAGGGAACACATAGGAACAGCCACAGTTTTTGTTGAACGCTCACCCAGAAAACCTTCATCTGAATGAACCAGAGTTTGAAAACAAACCCCTCTTTTCCCTACATCCTGATTTGTCGTTAGAGGTAAGTAATCACTCTCATGTGGACCTTGGTGTCCTTGACAGCCAGTGCTAGTCCTCACTCATTCTTTTAGTATTAGACAGCCAGATTGTGTGGAGAGCATCATTGGTGCCAAGAGGATATCAATACCGAAGCACTAACCTGTGTAGCAAGTTATTCCTTTGCTCCAACTGTATGTTGAGTGAGGCTTTAAAGTATTGGCTAGGCACTGGCAGAGAGACAGGTGCCGTGTGGAGTATTTCCATGTGGGAGAGAGGGAAAGGAAAGAGAAAGGAAGAATGGATGTTTACAAGCTTATATTGCACATGAAACATCCCATGTGATCATCTCCATGAGCAGCCTTGGGCCAAATTTATCATTTGTGCAGCTCACTGACATCAGTGGCATTACTCGTACATCAAGGACATGTATACTGTCGTAGGTCTTATTTTAGCTTTTCTCAGGAGGACTAGGCTTAGAGCTGACTGCTATTAAAGAAGGCTGAAAGATTTGAAGGGGGAAAGGTTTAGCAGGAAAAAGTAAGATATTTTCTGTGTGAGGAGTAGCTGGGAGTCAGCAGAACTGAATGGAGAGCATCTTCTTTGATGGGTAAGGGAAGTGCTTTGCCTTGCATCCTTCTGAGAAATAGGGCCTCAGAGGGATACTAGCTACAGACTTGCTCCTGGAAAGTGGGAACAAATAAAGGGGGATTAAGGAATAAAGAAGGGGCAAAGAGGAAAACCTGTGTCCAAAGACCTGGTCCAAGAGAATTTGATGTAAAATTCAGAAATTCAGTTATCTTATGGACACATAGAAGGAGCACTTTATGTAGAGGGGCCATTTTTCTCCATCTTTGTATGTTTTCTACATTTTTTTTCCCAATTTCTTTCTTTCTTTTTTTTTTTTCCTCTTTTCTTGTCGACATTCAGTTAACAGCTCTTCTCATCTCTCTGAGCTATGGTATGGTCAAGCCAACAAATCTTGTGTCCCATTACAAGTGCTGTCTACCAAGCATACACCTCATTAAAATATGCAAATCCACCACTTAACAGTTGTGATTCAGCACAGAACATACGTTATTTGGATGACACGTTAACAGGAACTCATCTCTGCACCTCCACTTCCTTCCTGGGAGCCAGACTTACAAACTTGCAAATCTCTAGAATAAAATATCTTGAAAATTAGGTGACATGAGAGGGCTGGAGGTGATAGGCATGTGTATGCATCCTCTCTGCTACTGTGTGCAGAAGATAGTGTTGGCAACACAAGGGCATAATGGATGCATGTGCTTCAGTTTTCTTGCAGTTGAAGATGGGGTCATAAGGCTGCTGAAAGCACAGAATTGTTTCACTGAGCTCAACAGGCACTTTACAAGGCATGTTTAAGGGCATGGGGGCAGATTTCATTTTTAGAGAGCTAGCTGGTTCCATCTCGTAAAGTGGGATCTTTACATTTAACCCTAATCAATCTCAAAGTGGTTCTGGAAGGAGGGAGATCCACCTCCTCTGAGGTTCTCCCCATGCTTCCTTGATGTTTCAACAGTGGTGGCTGGTGCAAAAGCCCCGGAAAATGATCCCCTTTTTAGCAGGAAGGCAGTCCCTGGGGAGCAGTGTGCCCTGGGTAGAGGGAGAAAGTAAGTTCCCTGCAGAGCTATTACCTCCTCCTTGCAAGTGAAGTTATTGATAACCATTGATCTGATCATGAGGGCTAGTGTCTGGTGCAGGTATGGTGAAGGAAGGAGTATTTTCTGTAAAGGGAGAAAGGAATCTGATCAGTTTAGGGGTGGATGGTAGGGGTGTATTAAGTAGAAGCTACTGAAGAGGGAGAGTCAGTGCAGACCTTGGAAAGGGGAAAATACACAGAGGATACTTTAATAGGAAAAACAAGGGAAATTGTGCACACCTGTCACTGTGTTTTGCATCTCATGTTCCTGTGGCACCCCACCAGACTTGCTCCTATGTAGGACCTTGATCTTGACCTGGTTTCTACTCTCACCCCTTGACTTGAAGGTTTGTCATGTCTTTTGTGTCGGCATCTCACAGCCATGGGCTTAGCCCTGTGATTTCAGGAGAACACTGAGAAGTGCAAAGTGGGAACAGAGGAAATGAGGATGGAGTAGAATTACTGTGGATCCTTGTGGCCTGTCACTGAAGTGGAGAATGGTGATTTGGGGTGTCTGGTGTTTGTGGGATGTCTCTGAGGAGGGTTATACAGCCCACTTGTCAGAGAGGGGTGTGTTAGGCAGCCAGTTTACTGGAGGATCACATGGCATCTGTCAACCAGAGGGTGCTTCCTATTCTCTGAATGTTGTGTGGTGAGCGGGAGAATTTTGGCTTCTCCTGTCTGTTCCCTTTAGATACTGTTTGTGTTACCTGCCCTCAGATCAGCTCTGAACTCAGCAGTTGTCCTTGGCCAAATGTGTGGGAGCTTCCCCTCTCCCTTATGGCCCCTGGAGCTTCATCCACCCTGCAGGCTGCACAGGCAGACCAAGCTTCACTAACAACTGCTGCGGCCCTCCTTGCCTTCCTTCCAGATCTAGATGAGCCTGTTCTCACCGTTCACCAGACCATCAGCGATGTACGTGGCAGCTTCTACCAGGAGAAGACCGTCTTCCTCCGTTGCACCGTCAACTCCAACCCGCCAGCTCGCTTCATATGGAAACGGGGAGCTGAGACGCTGTCCCACAGTCAGGACAATGGCGTGGACATCTATGAACCCCTCTACACACAGGTGAAAAAAAGAAAAAAGCAAACCTCCACCAGCTTGTGATGAGCATCGTGGTGTGATATGGTGCCCTCTGCAGTGGATGGTGTTTCTCTCTGCGTGTGGGTTATGATGCTGGGGAGAGGGTAGTGGGTGTTCAAAGGAGCACTGGCTCCAGAAGCCATGGTACCTTTTTCTGTATGCAGGTTCTCAGGGGGAAAGAGCAGCAGGAGGGAGCACGACAGCCTAGAAGTCCCTGGCTTGCCATCCCTTCCCCTTTTGGCATGCTCCCTGAGAGCAGACCACAGTTTCCCTAATGAATTTACATGACTGTTGGATGGCTGAGACTGTTCTCCAAGCAAAAAATAATAATAATAATAAAAAAAGGCCTCCTCTCCTCTCAGTGCTACTTTTTACTTCAACAAGCACCCAAGCTCCATAAACAAGGGAAAGTGCTCCATATTTAGCAGTGTGAGCCCATGTCAGGAATTGCTGTGGGCTCGCTGAGGCAAATGATGAAGAGTTTTTCCTAATGCCTACAAGCACCAGTGGCAGCCACACTGCCTGGGCACTTTGTGACTGTCATCCTGTGGCAAGGTGTCATGCTCTCTGCTTCCCCTGTTCCCCTGTGCTGGACTTGTCCCTGCACAGCTGTGTTACCCCTCTGAATGCCACTTCCTTCACAGTCACTAGCCTGACAAAGCAGTGGATGATTGAAGGTATTTTTCTTTTGCCAAAGCACCTTGGGCATGTTATCCTCAGCCATGCTATAACCCTGAGTATCCTTCAGATGTCAACCAGCCCTAGCGCTTTTGGAAGACCACTAGGCAGCGTGAGGAGGGGAGGGCAGCTCCCCAGGGTGTCCCTTTCATCCCACACACCATTCTGCTCTCCTGTGCTCCCAAAGCTGGGCCCTAAGCACATTGTGGCTGAGTTTGATTTCTGAGCGGTGCCCCAGGCAACTTTTCAGTTAATGCAGTCGTGTTCATGTTTTATTGAAACGCGCCATCTCTGCAGGTTGTGGAAATGGGCAGCTGAATGGAAACGTGTAGGGGGATTAGGACAGAGCACAGAGATGCTGGTTTGCAGCAGATTTGCAGAAATACTGTAGGTCAGGGCTGCTGTTTGGACCTCCAGAGAGCTTTGCCTTGTCCAGTGCTATGCAGCATCAAAGCAGGACATCCCTGGCCTCAGAAGAAGCCACCATGGGCACTTCCAGCTTTCATTAAGCTCACTGTGGTTAACAGGAGATACTGCTTAATGAGGAGATATCCTAAGAGTTGAGACATTTTCTCAAGCTAAACAAAACATCCAGCAGAATTTTACTGTGGTGCCTCGTTAACAAGTAAATGACCCCGCGTCCTGCAGCTCCTGTCAGGCAATGCTCCTGCCACCATGGGTCATTCCCAGCTCTGGGGTGGGTGTTAGGACAGCCGTGCTCACTCAGGCATGCCTGAGTCCTCCTGCTCGCACTAGCATAAATCTGTGAGTTTGGGTTAAGAAGAGCTAAAGTCAGGCAAAACACACCCCTACAGCAAACCTTGCTGGAGCTCAAATCAGTTATGTTTACCAAAACACCCTTTGTAGGGGTACTGTGGTCTGAGAGTCAGGCCAGTGAAGCTGGTAGCAGTGTCAGGTTTGGTTAGGCCTTCACAATAAAAAGGACATGAACACTTTGCTGTTTAAGCTTTTCAAAACTTTACACTGAAGTTTTATACACATTTACCCAACATTTACTAATCAATAAAATGGATACATACGACAGTGTAGGTCACCAGCTGACGTGCACATTGTAAATGCCATCATTTGTGTGGTGTAGCAACAGATCTCAGGGGACAGGACTTCCGTGGGGTTATTGGTCTCCTAGGTATTTATCTTTCTAATTTACTCAGTTCAGATCCGTGTTCTCCATGTATTAGCATGCCTGAGCTCATCGCCCAGTCCCTTGAGGTTGTCTCAAGAGGATTTGTCGTGCTGACACCTTCTCACATTTGCAGGCAATTACGGAATGGTTTCTCCAAAAGAGATTTAGACAAACACAAGGAGAACAGCAGCGACAAGCTGTCGTGGGAAGACATATGAGTTGCAGGGTGTGCAAACCACAGGATGCATCTCAGAGCTTTCCGCATTCCATAAATAAAAATTTACAGAACACATCTATTGTTAATTTAACAACTTTATTCTGTTTCTACATGCCAGTAACTGATGGAGTGCTAGCGAGTGATTTTTGTGTTTGTTTGTTTGTTACCATAGTACGAGAAAAGGCTATCAAAGTCAGTGCAGACACTCTGGATTTATGCCAGCATAAATGAGATTAGAATCTGGAGAAAGGAGATCAGAAAGGTTGGGGAGGGTTATTTGAATATTTTTCTGAATTATCTTTTTTTTTTTTTTCCTGCACTGCAATTTTTTAAAGCTTAACTGTTAAGCATGTCATATTTAGGCCAGCATCTGCTCCCGTTTACTTTGGTTTTGCAATGCTGAGACCCCACTGACTTCATTTGGGCTCCTACTGACATCTCGGCATGAGATCAGGGCCTGTTCTTGGACGTTCACGGCTTTTCGCATTCTGCGAGATGATTCTGACAGCAGTTGACAAGAAATTATGCCTAGACCCATTCAGCGCTGCTTTCAGGTTATATGACAGTCAGTTGCTGGGTGTTTTGAGAAACCCTGGAGGTGGAGCTATCACTGCAAACCCTTTGTGTCTCCTTTGTATAGAGCTATAAGGGCTTGGAGCCTGCACAGCTTCATGGTGTTTCAGTGGTTGTTGCTGGTAGCCTTTGGGCCAGGGGATGGGCTCGCAATGATGAGCTGAGCTTTGTACACCTGTGTCTTTCCTTCCCTCTTTCCTCCCAATTCCCAGGGTGAAACCAAAGTCCTAAAGCTGAAGAACCTGCGGCCCCAGGACTACGCCAGCTACACGTGCCAGGTGTCCGTCCGCAACGTCTGCAGCATCCCCGACAAGTCCATCACCTTCCAGCTCACAAACACCACAGGTAATGTAATGGCCTGCTGAGCAGCCATTGCCTCTCCAGGCCCACAGTGATGAGACAACCACCTCTAGTTCACATGTGTGGCTGCTAGGGTTGTAAATCCTTAATGCAGAAGTTTTGTGGCCAGGAATACTTCAATTTCTTCTAGCTGGTGCCTTGGCCGGTCCTGCTGTGTGATCACTGAAGCAGACTACCTGTAGGTGTTGAAGTACAACGCAGTTTTTAATCCAGATGCTGTTTTATTTATTTATAATTCTAAGTGACTTTAAAAATAGATTTGATACAGTCTGGAGCAGGGCAGATGCTGCACAAGTCCTTACAAATAATTCATTCACGTGTGATTCTGGCCTGGTTTGCAAGGCTGCGCTCAGAGCGCCTCCCAGCCCAGGGGTCCTGCTGGTGCCAATGTTTCTGGAAAGCAAATATCTCCGTTGCCTTCCCAATAATTAAATCTTACAACTACACACATGCTGATATCCATGCTGGCACTGCCTGAGCATGCCTCCAATTGCGAACAAAATCAATTTGGTGCCTATTGCTTGACTTGCAATAACCCACAGATAGCCAAAACCACATACCAAACACTTGCAAGGACCTGACTGCAAACTGTCCATTTAACATGAAAAAAAAAATAAAGCATGACAAAGTCCCCACATATGTCAAATATTTTCAAATAGTAAGTAAATGTCAGGAAATCGCTTCCGGCTCTGGGGTATTCCATGATCAGAAAGAAAGGCAATGTAGTTGTTTGAATTATTCACCTCTCTCTAATGTAGCACAAAGCAGTTTGTATCCCTGGTGTCATCTTTGTGCAGTGGAAACAGAACTCTTTTGATGTTGCCAACTGTTGATGGGATATTGTTGATACTGTATAAATTATGTTTATTGATCTGACTGAGCCCAGGGTGCTGAACAGTAGTTGTTTCATTTTATGTGGAAAGAAGAAAAATAATAAGCTTAAGAAAGTGAAATATAGCTAATGTTGGGAAAAAAAAATTCTTCCAGTGGTAAGATCCCTGTGAGCACATCTCAGGCAGCTCACATCACTGCCTGAGATTTTCTCAGGAGGGAACTGTAGAGAATGCAGGAATATTCCCTTTAAAAACCTATGCTTGAGGTGTAGAAAGGGATCTCAGGCAGCTGTTCTTTCATGGTGTGGCTTTACATTTGAAGAATTAAAAATAAATAAATAAATTCTCTCCATACCCTGTTCCCCCTGCCAGCCCAAGCGCACGGAAAGTATCCTTCATTTCAATCCAATCCCTTTACTGAGTTAACAGGGAAAATGTATTTTCAAGTTGTTGCCAGATCAGAAGCCAGCATATGGCTGAATTCACACCAACTTCTTAGGGTACTTACCAAAGCTCTGAACCTGGCCCATGCAGCACATACATCTAGTTCTTCTTTCATGTTATTTAGCTGTAAATGCATATTTATACACAGTTACAGTGGAGCCTGACACCACAAACTCAAAGGGACTACGGAATACGTGTTCCTAGCAAATTGTATTAAAAGCTACCCACGAAAATGAGCTGGTGTTACACAGAAAGGAGGGTTTGTGTTAAATAACAGGAGCATATTTAACATGAAATGTTATCTGGCTCACTTACCTGCAGGTATTGTTGTGCGTAGACAAGAACATATTTAAAGAAAAGTCTTAATTCTCTCCTTTTATTTTTTTTTTTATGTATAGATTTCTTCTTTTTCTCTTGTGCTCATGCATTAGCAACCTCCATAGCCTCGGCTGTGCCCAGCATGCTGAGCAGCTTCTCTCAGGATGCCTTTGCCTTTGTAACTGAGGAAGGCCCAAAGGGCACCGAGGTGCATGGAAATTGATCTCTTAAATATTTATAGACCCAGCCACAGTGGGCTTTGAGAGGAGCCGCTGGGTCGTGGCATGTCAGGCCAAGGGAATCTGCTCCTCCAGTTTGTTTGCTCTTCCTTAGGTGGTTCACTTTGGACAGACCACAGTCTGCAGTGTGGAGATGTGCTTCTCCCCAGCTCAGTGTCAGCAGCGTGCCCCTTGCAGCAGGCAACCAACTCTCAGCCTGCAGCCTTGGTGGGAAGGACGTTTTCCCTGCTCCTGCTCTGTCCCCCTGCCCTTGTGTGGCTCTGGAGCAGCAGGTTGGGTCCCGCAGAATCGCGGGGCTGGCTCGGCACCGGGCTGTCATCGCCTGCTCCGACAAGGCTGGGCCGATGTTTTCCCCTTCCTTGATTTCTGCAAAATTAAGCAGCCCAGCTGGTTAATTTTCCTGCAGTTTTACTGCAGCAAATTGGACTTCAAAGGGAATTGAAAGCGACTCTTTGTTTTTAATGGTCCCCTTGCTTCTCGGCAGACTCCGCCAGCAGGTTTTCTGAGCCAAGAACAAAAGGAATTGCCACAGGTTACAAATAAATGAGATTCATCTCCTGCATAACAATGTCTGCGGCATGTTAACCTCTATCTGCTGACAGGAGTGGGAGTGGGAGCCTGTGCAGGCTGCCACAGCCAGGGCTCGGTTTTGGGACACGCTTTGGGAGCTCGCTGCCTCAAGCCGAGCGCGTGGCTGCTTTGCAGTTTGCCTCCCTCTCCTTTTGCATGCACACACAGCCTGCCCTGAGGCAGTGCTTGCCCAACCTGTCACTTCTTTTCCATTTTGCCTTGCCCAGAACGTGTCACTGCTCAGCAAGATGAGTGTTGGTCAGATATGTGCACATCAAACAACACAAGATCCTGAAATCTTAACCAAAGCCTGCAGGAACTCTGGTTCCTCCTCCCCAACTCTGACATCCTCTCTCTCAACATAAGCTGGTCTCAGTCTTTCTATAGCTCTGAAGGGGATGTGAGGATGTCCCCAGGCAAGATGCTGCATCTATCAGCTTGTCTGTGCCTTTATCTGAGACTTGTTCAGTGTTAGAGGGCAGGAACAGCTACTGGTATCAGCTCCCATTACCACAGAAGTGTCCTGCCCAACCACAACCTGTTGAGCTGCTGCCTCCCCAGGCTTCACCACATCTCATGAAACCAGCCAGCACCCAAAAAGGGAGCACAACTCTGTGTTGCTGCTTAGTGAGCATTAAACTTCAGACAGTTTCCAAGAGTCCAGCAGAGAAGCCTGTCAAAAGCTCTGTGTTCGGGCTGTGGCCTCTCCGAATTCAAAGGCTCCAACACAAGCCCCAAAACACCCAGTGCAGGTGGCAGAGGAGTTGCCCTCATCCATAGGCACAAACTGGCTACATCTAGCACAAATACCATGTGCCGTGGCTGGGGAGAGGACACCGGGTTTGGTGCACCAAAACAATATTCCAGCTTAGAGATAGTGGTGCAGCTAAATGATGGTGCGGGTACTGAGTGGAGAGCATTCCTCGCCTTGTTTGTACGGGCTGTAATTCAGAGATCCAACACCAATCCAGCACAGCTCATTAACACAGGGTCCGGGGAGAGGAGAGGCAGAAATAATGATGCTGTTAAATCAGGCTTCATGAATATGGAACATTGTCTTATTTTGCATTATTATGGCTGTTACTTAAAACATACTCCCCGCCTTTGTGCTGGGGACCGCTACTTTCTCAGCGCTGTCTGGATGGAGCAAGCAATGATGCTGACAAGGGCTTTAAAAGGCTTGTCGTGGGATGAAACGGAGAATACAAAGGGAGGGTTTTTTTGGATCAGTTCATGGAGGGGGGTGTAGTGAGAAGGGTGCAGAAGTAAAATAAGCCAAAGCCACGTACTAGGTGATTCAAAGGGAAGGTTGTCTAGACACTTCGAATCGTTCCCAGTTGTTCAGTTGTGCATGAAAGAGCATCCCCGGGACTTGGTCTATAGCACACAGGTCTATACAAGATTGTATCTGACACCTGTGGAGTTGCTCTTTGTGGTCTGTTATGGTGCAGACAGGTTCTGGTCCTCTGTTTCAGGCTCTTAGTTACCCAGGCCAGGTGCGTGGTGAAGGCTTTGATGAACAAATCCCAGGCAGTATGAAGCTGTGCACAGGTGAGTGGGTGGGTCCTTTTTAAGCTCAGCAGTGTCTCTTGGTCCTCTTCCAGCCCCACCTGCTCTGAAACTGTCGGTCAATGAGACGTTGGTGGTCAACCCCGGTGACAACATCACTATGCAGTGCTCTCTGACAGGCGGCGACCCACAGCCAGAGGTGGTTTGGTCTCACTCTCCCGGCCCGATGCCTCCCAACAGCCTCGTGCAAGGAGGCAACCTCACCATCTGGAGGATCCGTGTGGAGGACTCCGGCTACTACAACTGCACAGCCATCAACAACGTGGGGAACCCAGCCAAGAAGACAGTGAACCTGCTGGTGCGGTGTAAGTTGCTCTTTTTCTCGTAGCGTGGGTTTTCTGGGTGAAGGGGCCAGACTTGCGTTTCTCCTGACTGTTCTCGTGCAGCTGAGGGTGAGTGGGATACTTAACAGAGATCAGTATTCTGGAGAAGCTGTCATGCAATCTTCTCTGCTCCCAGCCTCATCCCAGGCTGTAGTACTGTCCTGGGCTAGAAACGATCCCAGCCTGCCAGGTGTGAGCCCTGGGGATCTCTTGCACGAGCATAGCTGGGGAAGGTCTCAGGACACATTTTGCACAGAGATGTTGCCCTCCAGAGCAACAGAGGGCTGTTATCTTGTGCCATGTGAGACACTTTGCTCTCCCTAAATAGTTTTGCACCTGTGTTCATCCCAGCCATGAAGAATGCCACGTTCCAAATCACCCCTGATGTGATCAAAGAGAGTGAGACCATCCAGTTAGGGCAGGACTTGAAACTCTCATGCCACGTGGATGCTGTCCCCCAGGAGAAGGTTGTCTACTCCTGGTACAAGAATGGGAAGCCAGCCAGGTTCTCAGACCGGTTGCTCATCACCAGGAATGACCCCGAGCTCCCACCTGTGACCTGCAGCTTGGAGATAATCGACCTGAGGTTCAGCGACTACGGCACCTACCTGTGTGTGGCCACCTTCCAGGGAGCACCCATTCCTGACCTCAGCGTGGAGGTGAACATCTCCTCAGAGACAGGTGAGCCTCTCTGTGGCAGCTGGGGACCCTGGGGGAGCTGTTGGCGTCACCAGCTGTCCCCAAACCCCATCCCACAGGTTTAGAGTGTGACGGCTCAAAGAAGCCACCAGGTTCTGAAGGAAGAAAGCGGAGGTGGTATTTCAGTAACTTTCAAAAGTCCTTTTGCTTAGAAGGGAATAAAAGAGAATTAAAACTCTTTGCTTTCTTTGGCATTGCTTATGAGGAATATCCCTTTTAAACAGAGCTGTGGCCAGAAGACTGGTATCATCAGTCGTAGCAAGTTCTGTGAAGAACTTTAATGTTCACGGGATTGTAATTTCAGCCTGTCTTGGGCACTCTCTGCAGAAGTCCATGAGTTATAAATGACTCCTCCTTGTAAATTGAGGGTCAAAACTTGGTGAGGACAGCACTAAGCTATAGGTGTGTTTGTGGGTCACCGTGGGGACTAAAATTCAGGGTCTTAGGGCTGTCTTTTGGCTTCTGGAGAAGTTGGTGGGTCTAGCTCTGCCTTTCAATACATCCATGTCACCCTGAGGGTATGGCACAAAGCAGCATCAGGCTAGTTATCTGGTAAGGGCTCTTGGAGGCAATGAGCTTCCCATGGAGTTTGTCCTGAACCTTCATGGGAAGTTTGTCCTCAGTCCTTGGTTGTGCTGAACCCATTAGTCAGGCTGGTCCCAGTGTTGTTTCTGGACCTTGCTTGCTTCAGCACCCCAGCAGAAAGTGCTGTTGTACTGCTTTGAGGATTCAGGACCTCTCTGTCTCTCAGCAGAAACTCTGGGACCTGTCTGTTCCCAAAGGGACTGCACCCACATTCAGCAGGAGCCTGAGGACTGAGCCACAGACCTGATAAATGTCAGTGGTGGTGCTTCCTCTGCTACCAACCCCTCAGTCCTGGTGCAAACCTGGGTCTCCCAACCTCGTGTGGCTGCCGCTGCTGGGAGCAACCCTTTTTGCCCAAGATCACTAGATGGCAGAGTGCAGTTGTGTTTAACACTACCAGGCTAGGAGGCAGCAAAGGGCCGGGAGCCCCTGGATGATCCCACCACAGAGCTGGGCAGGGTCTGTTGGTGCAGGTATTGGCCCAGGAGCCAGCTGGCCACTGGCACTGGCAGCTGCTCTGAGCTCTGGCCCTCCTGGTGGAGGTGACCCACATGCTCACATGGGTGCTGCTGCCAGAGGGGGGCATTTTAAAGCCTCCCTTCAGCAATCTGGTCCAGCAGAGCTACTTGGTGACCAAGGGAGTGAATACCATCCTCCCTGTTGGAGCAGCCCTCCAAGCAGCATGGGCAGCAGCTGAGGCTGCCTGGATCACGGCATCCCCTGCAGCAGTCACTGAGCCACTTCCAACACATGGCTCCTAAATAAAAACCCAGTGGCTTTTCCCCAGAGCACAGGATAAGTGCAGGAGAGCAGCAGTGGCAGCTTCATGTTTCCCCATCAAACAAAGCCTGTGCGCACCAAGGTGGCAGCTTCCACTGAGTGCCTCTGAGGAGACAAGCTTTAATTAAAAAAAAAAATAAAAATAAAATTCCAAATACAATTTACAGCTTTTCCCCATGGAGAAAATTGCCTCTCGCCAGGTGAACGGCTGCTGGCGGTGTCGGCACCAAGAGTGCTGTCGTCCGCGGCGCTGCTCAGGACAGGGAGTGATGAGGTTCCCCAGCCCATGGGAGAGTTGCAAATTGAAAATGTGGCCTCCCTGTTGCACAGGGAGGTCACTGCTGCGGGAGACGGGGCTGGAGCCATCCTAAATCTCCTCTAAAGCTGCTGTGGGCTGTAACGTGTGCAATTATTGTAGCACAATCTCCTTTGCTGGAGCTGAATTGAGCTAATACAGCTTATTATGGCCTCTGTAGTCCTTAACTTTTCTTTAAATGGAAATGAAGTACGTAGCCCTTGTGGTTATGGAAGTGTCAATCCAAGTGTTGCCACTGTCAGCTTGAAGGGCTGAAAGAGGAGCTTTCAGAAAACGATTGCTTCCATAGTTGCTTTAGCTGAACTGTTAATTCTGAAGCCTAATACAAACAAAATGTCAACATAACATGTTTTTTGCCATGAGCTTCCCCTTCCTGGGAAGAGGTACTTGGTGGACTTGGGGACATGAACAACAAATTTCTTCCCACTGAAACCTCTGCTCCTTTTAGCTGCAATCCTTGGGTTGTTTTTCTCCTGATTGTTTGTTTTGGTGTTGTGGGTTTTTTTAGCTTTATTTATCAGCAAAGTTTTTTTTTCCCTACTGATATCTGGGTATTTCTTGAGTGTTGCTGTACCATCAGCTCTAGCCCCAACTAGGCAGCAGTTCTGGCTCAGTGAGCTATTCTCAGTCTGGCCTGGAAGGAGGCACAGAAGCGATCTTTACTGGAATTCCTGTCTCATGTGAGCCAGAGATAACCAGCACATGTGTATCTCAAGGTAAAGTATACAGAGATTATGGGTGTCTGGCAAGGCAGGAGGTCTGCAAAACACTAATCCTATAAATCTTGGCTTTGGTCTCACCTGTGTAAGAGGACTAGGTGCCTTGGTAGATACAATTTCTATTTCTGTGTCAAAAGTTTGCAGTTCTATTTGGGAAATTCACTGACCAGAAACGGAGACATGGATCAAAGAGTTGTTTGATATGGGGTTCATCAGTGCTAGCCCTGCTGCTGGAGAGCATTTTTCATCCAGAGAAGTGGGAGCTGGGTGGATGTTCAAGTAAAGCTGGCACTTTCCATTGGCATGGGGGTCAATTCCTGGAGAAGCTCAGGATCTTCCTTGGTGCCCTGCAGCTTCAGGTCCTGTAGGATGATTTACACGGGCACTGTGTTCCTGTAGGGGTTGCACTGGTATGACCAGAGTCAAGTTAAGCAGCTCTCAGGGCTGTTGGTGTGATGCAGACAAAGGCATCTCAAGAATGTTCCTCACATGCTGGAAACTAAGTGTAAAACCAGTCCCTTCTTATCTCCCTTTTAGTGCCACCAACCATCAGTGTCCCCAAGGGTCAGTCCACCATCACCGTCCGGGAGGGCTCCAGGGCTGAGCTGCAGTGCGAGGTGCGAGGGAAGCCCAAGCCACCCATCATCTGGTCCCGGGTAGATAAGGAAACCCCCATGCCTTCAGGGACAATGACGACGGAGACATACGATGGGAAGCTGCGCCTGGAGAGTGTGAGCCGAGAGATGAGCGGGACCTATAAGTGTCAGACAGCCAGGTACAACGGCTTTAACATCAGACCCCGGGAAGCCCTGGTGCAGCTCAACGTGCAGTGTGAGTATAACCACACAGTCCTGGGGCGCCGGTCTGAATGCCTGCGTGTGCGTAAGCGTGTGGGCTAAGCATCTCTGACACACTGTGCAGCTTTCAGGCAGGGCTGACCTTTCTTACTGGGCTGAGCCGACACGTCTCTTTTGTCTGGGGACCTTTGAGCGGTTTGTATTTAATTGGCCTGGCTGCAGAAGGCAGGGGCAGGATACCGTGCAGGCAGTGTGATGCAAGGGGTGTTGTGTGTGTGTTCGTACACGATGCTTCCCATTTCCCGATCAGTGGGTGACTGCAAAACAGCAGCTTTGCAGGGTGTGCATTTGCGTGCGTAACATACGTGCAAAATATCTTCAGGGCATATTAATAAGGCTGTGAAGTCAAGCACTCAAAAGACAGCAAATGAATGTCAATGACACCACTTCTACCTCATAACGCTTTCTGCAACTAAGTTCCCACAGCTGGCACTTCTGGACATGCCTGAACCATTTTGCCAAAAAAGCAGAGGTAGGCAGACCCTACTATGGACTGCATAATCCCCGTTTCCATGCAGCATAGCTGTAAGCAACAGAAAACTGATTCCTAGCGTGTGGTGTATTGAGTGATTTTGGTGCTGGGTAACACTCGCAGCTCCGCTTGGCAGTGATATCTGTGCATAAAGGTGAGTGTGGAGGGAGGGATGCTGCTGGTGTCTGCATTGGGTGACCGCATCTTTTCCCCGCAGCAGTTCCCACCTCCAGGTAAAGGAGTGCTCCTGTGGTGTCAAGGTCTGTTTTGACATGCTGAGGGCAGGCAGAAGCAGAGGGGCTGTGCTGTCTCCTTCCTGATTTTGAATCAGGGTGAAGGCAGCAGGGTGAAATGCCTCAGTCTGGAAGGAGCAGTGACTGCAGGAACAGCCCTCCCTTGAAGACCTCATCCTGTTGGGATAGCAGGATGGCTGAAATCCTCTGAGCTGCATGGAGCTGGCAGGTGTGGGATGGTAGGGAGCAGGTTAATTTGCACCCAGGCATGCTGTCTCTGGGCTGTGACTGCAGAGCATCCACGCACAGCACAGCACAGCAGCACTCATTAGACACGCTGCCACACTCCTCCCTGGCTTGATCCCCGGGGAGAGGAGAAGCAAGACCGGAGCAGATAACCTGTCTGCAGCCAAGCAGGCACACTGCTGGCTGATTCAAGCTGGTGGGAGCACAGCAGTAACAAAGATATGCCAGATCCTGCAAGCACTTTGCATATTCAAAGAACCCCCTTTTAAAACGATCAGTCTGTCCATTTGGGAGCATGTCAGCAGCTGAATCACAGCACACGGACAGAGAAATGTGTGCAGATTTCTGTGAAGGTAAGTGTGGATGGAGATGCTTCCCCTAAGCAGGGTGGACATGAGTGTCTTGGTTTAAGCTGTTTTGGGAGGCAGGCTGGGAGCAGGAAGGGTGACTCTTTCACCCCAAGAACTGATGGGAGATGCAACAAAATCTCACTCTGGAGCAAAGAACCATGAGATCTGCTGGTATCCTCAGTTCAGAGGTGGTGTTTGAAGGCGGTGTGGTCCCCACTGTCTCTCATTGCCCTAACAGAGGGAGGGGTTCAGCCTGGGCTGAATCCAATCTTGCTAGGTAGTCTGGAGGGGAAGCACAGCCCTGAATCTTGGGCTGGAGGGGGAGGACATGACTCCCTGAGCAATAGATTGTAGGTAGAAACCAGAAGCTGCTTTGGGGCGGAGCCCCAAATGTGACCACAAGAAGGCAAAGATGCAATGAACTTCTTTGTAAAGAGCAACTCAACATATTCCTCCTATTGCTCTTCCCAAGGCCAACCAACGCTTTGTTGTGATCTAGCCCAGGTAACAGTGGCATGAAAAATAAACCGTGGAGCAAGAAAGTAGGGCAAGAATTGCCCCCATCCCCTTTATATCCCTTTCCCTTCCCCTAAAAAAAAGCCAACAACAAAGAGCATAGTCCCTGCTTGTGCCTCTCCTCCTTGTTCAGGCAGCTGGAAGGCGCTGGGTGCGGCAGTGGGGGCCGCGGTGGTTAATTGAAACGCTGCTCTGCAGCGCGGGGAGCTCATTAGTCTGCTCGCTTGCTCTGGAATTCTCATCTTGTCGGAAATGGGGATCGTGTGGCTTCTGCAGCCTCCGTGATGAGCGCTTCCCACCGGAGAGCCCGCGCGGGTGACGCGCATCCATGCGGCCGCGTGCATGTGTGTGTGTGTGCATGCGGACGTGCCTCCGTGTGTGCCTGCGTGAGCTCCCTTTGAACCGGCTCGCTCAAGGGAAGAGCGAATTCTGGGTGATAATGTGGCTGTTTCTCTGATTTGCTCCAAAGCTAAAGTTGCAAAATCAATACAGCAGATCTGATTAGATGTCAGAACCTGTTTCTGTGTTTCTTTTTTCTTTTCTTTTTCTCCCCTCACCCTCATGCATATCGTTCTGTGCTGTAGCAAACTAGCCCACAAATAGGCTTTGCCAACTGCACTGCAGTATTGGAAAGAGAGAGAAAAAGAAGACTAAAAGAAAAAGTCAGCTATACCCCCCTCCCCTAAAAAAAAAAAAAAAGCTTTTTTTATTTTTTTTATTCTTTATTTTGCAAGCAGAAAAACTTGTTCTTCTTTTATCTTATAGGCAGTAATTTTCTATCATCAGCTCTCTGACAGGCTGGATGGTCTGTTCCCTTGACTTCTTGGTCTGAACTGTAGGGGTTTGGAAGATTAATAATTTTGTGAAAGTCCTTGCAGCCTCATAGCTCTGTGGTTAAGATAAAGAAATGTTATATACTGGTTAGAGCGAGACATTGGGCTTGTCGGAACTCCTGGGAACCTAGCTGCCACACGGAGCGACAATTTCTTGTCTTTTCCTATATCTTTAAAGCAGGAATAAAACTGATCTGTCTCTTTGAGGATTTGTGAGGCATAATAAACACAGCACTTTGAAATCTTGGAACAAAAATAGCCGTGGAAGGGCAGAGTACTGTTGTTAATAATATCGATGCTATTGTTAATGCTGTTGTCAAGCCTTTTTCCAGGATTAGGTACTCACTCAAGAAAAAGTCCCAGCAGCAAAGTGAATCTTCTGCAGAGGTGGGTTTAAACTCAGGACTGGGTCACCCTGTGTAGATGAGATCAGCATAAGGTTGTAAAACACATACTGGGCTTGCAAATGTACGGCATTCTGTGCATTTTGGTTTACAAAATATCATTTGAGCCAGTATGTATGAAAGGAGGAAACAAAAAAAAATGTGTATGTGTGGATCACTGAAAATGATGTTACCTGGATGCAAATTTAACAAGTATATAATAGCAAATTGAAGAAAATATATATATCCTGAAAATATGTACCCTGAAAGCCTGTCTAAAATAGCATTTCAATGAATTACAAGGAACAGGAGTAACTCTAAGCTCTAGCCTTTGCAATAACTGGCCTTTGAGAGGACTATCTTATCATGGTGATGTTACATTTGCTTTCTTGGAGCCTCATACAACAGCGTGGTATAAATTTCAGTCCCAGTACGTTACCCTGTTTGCATGAATGATATTGTGTCAGTCCTGAAGGCTTGTCAGTCCTGACCATATCATAAACTGCTGAACAGCTCTGTCAAAGTCCAGCTCAACCCTGCCCGCCTCATCACACCTAATCCTTGATGCATCGCCTCCAGTACTTTCCCTCTGATCTGTTTATCCTCACAGTACTTGCTACTTTTCTCAGGCCCTTGCTTGAGGGGAGACTATCGAACACCTGAATAGGTTCTCTCTCTGTGGCTAAACAGCAAAAACTGATAGCGGGGAACCTATCTTCTCTACTGAGAGCTGTAATTAGTTCACCAAATTCTGTTTACTGGATAAGCTGACTTTTGCTGGTGCCATTCTTATCTTTGGCAGAAGTCTTGATATCTCTAAGTGCTCACAGAAAGAAGGGAAGAGGAAGAAGGAAATATTTATGTAGAGTTGACCTTGTTTTGGATAGTCCAGTCTGAAAGCTGATGCTGTTTTTCATCTTTGGGTCACACTACAGGTGACATCTTGGCAGGAATAAAGACTAGGAAATGAATAACATGGCCTGAGAGCTTGAAGCCTTCTGGATTCAAAATAATAGTCCACAATCACCTGGGATTGATATCCAAAGAATTAGGTTTACTGCCCTTAGGTTGAGTTTTGTCACACACAGCAGCAGGTGGATTATTGTGTTTAACTTCAAAGCATAATGAATGTTAGGTGCAATCAGGAAAGTAGACCAACATTTTTCTTTGGGAGGGCAGCTATCACAGTTAACAGGACTTCAGGAAACGTGAATATTTCTAGACACAGGAATGGCCACAGGGCCAGTGACAAGAAAGTCTGGCTTTGCCCCTACCTGAAAGGCAGCCAGATTATGTCCTGTTGAGGCATCTGTTGCCCTTGTCACTTAAAGAAATGTTCAGGTATGCAAGGATTTGTTTTCCCATCTGGGCTCACATGCTGGCAAATGTTATTCTTGGTCACCCTGTTGACTTATTCCTCTTTAAAACCCTCCTGAACCCATTGGCAGGGCTCAGACGGGCAATAGTCAGCATCAATTTCCCGTTATCTATGTAGCAAACAGAAGAGCAGGGAGGAGAGGAGGGAGTGATACTGTAAATAAGTAAGGAGCATCGCTGGATCCAAGCAACTGGAAACAGAAATGCATTAAACTGTTTCGATCAACTGTTGAAGCCATCGCTCAGTGTCAGCGCTCTTTGCAGATGTCCTACCCCCCTCTGAAACAGAAGTGTGGATATTAACTGCTCTGTTAAAAGTGCTCTTGAGACATGCTCCTGGCTTGAAGATGGTTCTTCAGAGTGGCTAGGATGGGACTTTTGGCTCCTGAGAGCTTGCTGAAGCTCTCCCTGCTCATGTGAAGGGAGTCTGAGAGAAATGAGATGTCCCTGGCCAGAGCTGACCCATATCTGTGACGGAGCTGGCTTATCCATCTTGCTGCTTGGCCACATGTGCTGGAGTGTGGAGCCATCTGCTAAGAATTTTAGACTTGGCTGGATTCATTT